GCCATTAGGACATCCAGTAGAAGAGTAGAGCCAGGAGGCTTGGTGTAGCTGGAGCAGGGGGAATGAGGGTGACATGAAGAGCTGGTTGCATAGGGTTTTGTAGGATTTCGTAAGGACTTTGGTTGAAAGTGAGCTGATGGAAGCATTCAGAGAATTGAAATGGTTTAACTTCTGTTTGAAAAGGATCACTGGTTGCTTTGTTGACTGGAAGACATTTACTTTCTAATTAAGTAAAAAATTAATTAGAAATTTAATAACAAATGATCTTTACATGTTTATATGTTAAGTTTGTTCAAGAGTTGTTTAGCACCTACCATGAGCATGGTATTTTTTGTGTGGATCATTGAGACTATAACCAAGTGAATAAAAAGGTGGTTGTCTTCCAGGATCTGAAGCATATAACATTGTGTCTTCTATATGTGACAATTTATTTATAAAAAGCCATTCTCATGCAGTGTTATATCTTATTTTGATGATCTGTGTCTAATGATCAATCCAAGGAGTTAGCATTGAAGTGTTAAAATTATTTCCTGTGTCATTTTTCAGTATAAATAATGGTTCTGAGTCACAACTCTCATCTGATTATTTTCATTCTTTCTGAGAGGGTTTTAAATGCTTACATATGTATAATATGCAGTATATATTTTCATCTTCCTTAGAGCCAATTTGACTATTATGACTGATTTTTATAAAGAAGTGATCTGATTCTTTTTTTTTTTTCAGATGGAGTCTTGCTCTGTCACCCAGGCTAGAGTGCGGTGGTGCGAACTTGGCTTACTGCAACTTCCACCTCCGAAGTTCAAGCAATTCTCTTGCCTCAGCTTCCCAAGTAGCTGGGATTACAGGCATGCACCACCATAACCAACTAATTTTTGTATTTTTAGTAGAGCCAGCGTTTTGCCATGTTTGGAACTCCTGACATCAGGTGATCCACCTGCCTCAGCCTGAAAGTGCTGGAATTATAGGTGTGAGCCACTGCTCCTGGCCTGAAGTCTTCTAAAAAGTTTTTATATCTGCCCCTAGAGCAGGAGCTTAGGTGGAGCAAAATCCCTAGGTCAAGGTGTTGAGGAGAACTCTAAGGAAGTGTTGGGGACCATTGCTAACCATGTGCTCCTTGGTTATTACTTGTGTACCTAGTAGTGTTTTGACAATTCCTGGATATAAATGAGAGAGGCAGAATTAGTGGATAAGATAGCAACTTTGAAAATCGGCACAGTGCTTTAATAGAAATGCATGTGGAGAGTAGGGACTACCGGTGGGTTTCTCTCCCAGGGTTTCCATCCCATTTCACTTGTTTTCACATTCTGTTTTTGAATTGAATTGACCTGGCTACCCAGGTATCTGAGTGAACAGCTTGTAGGAAAAATGAAATAAGCAATTCAGGCAAGTCCCTATTATTGGTGTTGATATAGTAGTTATTCATTTGGATGTTTTATTGTTGCTACTGTTATCATTTAACTTTTTGTTGAAGAATGAGCATAGAAAAGTTAAGATCCAAATGTACAACTCAGGTAATTATCTCAAAGGCAAATAATCACCCTCCATACATTAATGGGGGAATGTAAAAGGGTTGCAGCCACTTTGAAAAACAGCTTGGCAGTTCTTCAAAAAGTTAAAAGGGAGGCCGTACATGATGGTTCACGCCTGTGATCCCAGCACTTTGGGAGGCTGAGGTGGGTGGATCACCACCAGGTCAGGAGATCAAGACGAGCCTGGCCAATATGATGAAACCCCATCTCTAATAAAAATACAAAAATTAGCCAGGTGTGGTGGTGGATGCCTGTAGTTCCAGCTACTCGGGAGGCTGAGACAGGAGAATTACTTCAACTTGGGAGGCAGAGGTTGCAGTGAGCCGAGATGGTGCCACTGCACTCCAGCCGTGTGACAGAGCGAGACTCCATCTCAAAACACACACACACACACACACACACACACACACACACACATACACAAAACAATTAGCCATGTATGGTGGCACATGCCTCTAATCCCAGCTACTTGGGAGGCTGAAGCATGAGAATGACTTGAGTCCGGGAGTCAGAGGCTGTGGTGAGCCAAGATGGCAGCACTGCACTCCAGCCTGGGTGACAAAGCAAGACTATCTCCAAAAAAATAATAGTTACTGTGTAATCTAGTAATCCAGTTCTAGGTGTATACCTAGCAGAATTTATTTATTTAAAAACATAGAAAAGTGTTCATAACAGCATTATTCATAATTGCTAACATGGAGACAACCCAGATGCCCATCATCTGAATGGATACACAGTGTGGTATGTCTATGCAATAGAATGGAGCCATAAAAAGGAATGGCGCGTTGGCATATGTTAGAACATGAATGGTCCTGTAAACATGCTAAGTGGGTTGGACACGGTGGCTCACACCTGTAATCGTAGCACTTTTGGGAGGCCGAGGTGGGTGGATCACCTGAGGTCAGGAATTCAAGACCAGCCTGGCCATCATGGTGAAACCCCATCTTTTAAAAAAATTTAAAAATAAACATGCTAAGTGAAAGAAGCCAGTCACAAAAGACCACATAGTCACATGATTCCGTTTGCGTTAAATGTCCAAAATAGGCAAATCCGTAGAGATAGAAAAAAGACCAGTGGTTACCAGGGGCTGAGTGGGTCTGAGATAGTATGGTGAATGACTGCTAATGGGTACAGGATTTCTTTTTGAGGGGAGAAAATATTTTAGAATTAAAGAATTAGATACTGATGATGTGAATAAACTTAAAACCACTGAATTACAAACTTTAAAAGGGTGACTATGATATATAAATTGTATCTCAATGAAGCTGTCAAAACCAACTACAGCCAATATAGACAGTGCTCCAGAAGACCCCCTCATCTCTCTCCTAATTAATGCCCCAGATTATTCTGGGGGGAAGAATAGCAGCTGTTTCTACTGCTACTGTTTACCTCTCAGAAGGAGGCTTTGTTTTAGACTAGGCATGAAGCTTTATGTTCTTAGCACTTGCCAGGCACAGCAGGGAACTTTTTGTAAAGCACCATTTTAATCAAATGCTTCTTAGTAATTCCATAGTGTCAAGGTGACCTACCTTTGGCACACCAGTAATTCTTGTCTTTTAAATCAGGTAGCTACGTAATTTTGACTTGCTCTTTTTTATAGAAACAACCTGGACCGTAAAAGTTTTAAAGTGCCATATATGTATGTGTGTGTGTGTGTGTGTGTGTGTGTGTGTGCACACGCGCGCACACACTGTCAGTCTTTTATCCACTTCATCAGAGCTGTCCTGCTGTCTTCCCCAACTTCCCTTCCCGAGATAGGAGTTTTTAATGCCATCCTTTAGATGAACCACATAGTATTAATAGTTCCTTTATTCTACATATAATTTCTAATCTTAAATTTAAAAAAGAAGCTACCCCTAAATGTTTACATGCCTTCAAATATTTCAGATGAGATTGGGTGCATTCTGGGTGTCAGTGGCTGTAGACAAATATTTCAAACCCAAAGTAAAATCAGTGTTGGTTTTTTGCTTTTCAGTGATGTCTTGGCATTGCCCATTTTCAAGCAGGAAGATTCCAGCCTTCCATTGGATGGTGAAACAGAGCATCCACCCTTTCAGTATGTGATGTGTGCTGCAACGTCGCCAGCAGTAAAACTGCATGATGAAACACTTACTTACTTGAACCAAGGTTAGTGTGGCTATGTCACATTTGACATGTAAGAACTTACAGAAATACAAAATAAATATTTTGGCATTGTAGCCAATATTTATTATTGGTAATAATTAAAAATTAGGATCTTTTTCTTAAATTTTACAACTTAATGAAAATTGTAGGAATTTTACTGTGAGCAGCTGAAGTAATAGTTTGTGTAAACTGATTTAAAGAGGGTCTGAAGAGGAAGATTTATTACAGGATTTTTAAGACATAATCCAAATGAATAGCAAATAGGAAAGGATGTCAGTTATTTTTAGGGACAGTGATTTCAGTATGGAACTTGAGAATGAATCAGAAGTCCAGCTAGCAAGAAACCTGAATTTTGAACATGAAGCACTTATGTGCTGAAAATAGACTTAAGCTGCACCAGGATGGAGTATGTGGCTAAATAACCAGCATCAATTTTTATCTTCTATATCTTGTTTTTACTTTGTGTCAGAGTTATGTTTCAGTGATATGAAACGGATGGTGGGGAAGGAGGGAGGGAGAATAGAGATGTAGGGGTAGAGTTTACTCCTTTTTTTTTGGATAGTGAGTTTTGCTTTATCGCCCAGACTGGAGTGTAGTGGTGCAATCTCAGCTCACTGCAACCTCTGCCTCCCGGGTTAAAGCAATTCTTATGCCTCAACCTCCCCAGTAACTGGGATTTCAGGCAAGCACCACCATGCCCAGGTAGTTTTTTGTATTTTTAGTAAACAGGGTTTCACCATGTTGACTAGGCTGATCTTGAACTCCTGACCTCAGGTGATCCATCTGCCGCACCCAGCTGAGTTTATTTTTGGAAAGAGGAGAGATTGCTGTTTGGAGTTTGGGCGCAGGCTGATGTGACTTATCACTGTAAACAAAAGTAATTGGAATGCAGGAATTAATTTGTTGGATACATATACTGAAAGCACATTGAAATCTGATTTAAAAAAATTTTTTTTGAATTTTTCTACTATTTTATGCTCATTGTAGAAAAACTGGGAAATATGTGAAGGGATAATGCTGAAAATTGACTAACATTTTTTTTGGTCTGTTTCTTGCCTGTATGTACATTTTCTTTCAAAAAATTAGAATTATACATTTGTTCACTTAAGAGTATATAGTGTTTATTTTTCTGTCATTAAATCCTAGCATTTATCATCTTGACCAAAAGTTTTAAACCCAAGATTTTCCATGAATTCTTAAACTAGTTTTAAAATTTTCTGTCTGTGTATATTTCCTTCCTTCCCCTTCCTTCCTTTCACTCTCTGCTCCCTTTCTCTTCCCCCCTTTCTCCCTTCATTCTCCTCTCCCTCTTCCATTTCCCTCTTTTTGGTCTTGCTCTGTCATCCAGACATGAGTCTAGTGGCACAATCATGGCTGATTGCAGCTGTGACCTCCCAGGCTAAAGTGATCCTCCCACCCTAGACTCCTGAGTAGCTGTGACTATAGGCACAGGCCACCATACCTGGCTAATTTTTAAAAAAATTTTGTTAGAGATGGGGGGGCGGGTCTCACTATTCATTGCCTATACTAGTGTCCAACTCCTGGGCTCAAGCCCTCTTCCTGCCTCAGCCTCCCAGAGTTCTGGGATTACAGGCATGAACCACTGAGCCTTGCCTTTTTTTTCTCCCTCCCTCCCTGTCTCCTTTCTTTCCCTTTCCTTTCTTTCTTTCTTTTCTTCTTTTTTTGGAGATAGGATCTCGCTATGTTGCCCAGGCTGTTTTTGAACTCCTGGGCTCAAGCGATTCTCTTGCCTCAGGCCCCCTGAGTAGCTGAGACTGCAGGTGTGTGCCACCAGGATTGGACCAGATTGAGACATTTCTTAGTATTTTTCACCCTATCTCTTTGTCTACTGAATAATAGAAGCTTACTGATTTAAACTAGTAAGACAAACACCCAGACTTAGTGAAGTATCTTCAGCTCTCTAGACTTGCTTTTCTTTTTGTATTTTATTTTATTATTTATTTATTTTTCGGGACAGTGTCTCAGTCTGTCTCCTAGCCTGGAGTGCAACAGTGCAGTCTTGGCTCACTGCAACCTCCACTACCCAGGCTCAAGTGATTCTCCTGCCTCAGCCTCCGGAGTAGCTAGGACTATGCACAAGCCATCATGCGTGGCTAATTTTTGTATTCTTAGTAGAGATGGGGTTTCACCATGTTGGTAAGGCTGGTCTCAAACTCCTGGTTTCAAGTGATCCACCAACCTTGGCTTCTCAAAGTGTTGGGATTACAGGTGTGACGCCCCGCTGAAATGGTCATTCTTGATGAAGAATATTTGCCACTATGTAATGCTGTAAAGAATAGTAAAAATAAAATTCTGTGTAGTCTTCACTTTGTCAGTAGAAATTGGAGCACGTTTTTCTAGTTGTATTAAAGTCTTAGTGTCATTTTTTGTATTATTTTTAAACCACAGAGGGACCAAGTTTAAAAACTGTATTTGTGTTTAAGGCTGGGTGCAGTGGCTCATGCCTGTAATTCCAGCACTTTGGGAGGCCGAGGTGGGCAGATCACCTGAGGTTAGGAGTTCAAGACCAGCCTGGCCAAAATGGAGAAACCCTGTCTCTACTAAAAATACAAAATTAGCCAAGCGTGGTGGTGCACGCCTGTAGTCCCAGCTACTTGGGAGGCTGAGGCAGGAGAATCTCTTGAACCTGGGAGGTAGAGGTTGCAGTGAGCCTAGATCGTACCACTGCACTCCAGCCTGGGTGACAAGAGCAAAACTCGGTCCCCTCACCCACCTCCCAAAAGAAAGCAACTGATATTTGTGTTTGCCTGGTTATTCCTGAATAAGAAGAGGAATTAAGTCCCTGACTACCATGGAGTAAAAACTGTAGTCCCAACATGGAGCCACCAATGGGTGGAGAATTCGTAGCTGGCTCTCCCTTTGGGAGGATCTGGCTGGAATAGGATGCCTTTTGTCTTAACAACTAGAAGCTGAGCACACCTCATGATTGTGAGTGAGACTTTTGATCTTACCTCCTTTCTGACTCCAGATTGCCTGCATTGCTGCTGCTAGATCAGCCTCTAACTCTTCAAGTGAAAAGTGTTTCTCCTAGTTACTCCCAAATACATTTTCATTTGGAGGCTGAATTCTACTTGGAGAATACTCTTGTTAAGAATGTTAATTAACACACCTGTAATCCCAGCACTTTGGCAGGCCGAAGCCAGCAGATCACCTGAGGTTGGGACTTCGATACCAGCCTGGCCAACATGGTGAAACCCCGTCTCTACTAAAAATACAAAAAATTAGCCAAGTACGGTGGCACACACTTGTAATCCCAGCTGCTTGGGAGGGTGAGGCATAAGAATCCCTTGAATCTGGGAGATGTAGGTTGCAGTGAGCTGAGATTACACCACTATACTCCAACCTGGACAATAGACTGAGACACTCTGGGGAAAAAAAAAAAAAGTTAATTAAAATTCACATCTTAGGCCCTAGAAACATCATGTTTATTGGATTAAGAATTCCAGGGCCAGGTGCAGTGGCTCATGCCTATAATCCCAGCACTTTGGGAGGCCAAGGCGAGTGGATCACGAGGTCAAGAAATAGAGACCATCCTGGTCAACAAGGTAAAACCCCATCTTTACTAAAAATACAAAAATTAGCTGGGCATGGTGGCGCGCATCTGTAGTCCTAGCTACTCGGAAGGCTGAGGTAGGAGACTGGCTTGAACTCAGGAGGTAGAGGTAGCGGTGAGCCGAGATTGTGCCATTGCACTCCAGCCTGGGTAACAGAGCGAAACTCCATCTCAAAGAAAAAAAAAGAATTCCATTAAATGTTTCAGAAATTTTTTTGGTTTACTTTCATTTTTCATAATAGATTTCCTTCTTATTAGTTTCAGTTCTTGTTACTAAGGTTTTATGATAGGAATAGGAGTTTAGAAATAAGGTGGTTTGGGACTCCTTTTGGATCCCCTTCCACGAACACTCCCTTTGTGGAAGCCATCTTTCTCGCTCCTGGATTTTCTCTCTGGAGTCCCCTTCCATGAACACTCCCTTCGCGGAAGGAAGCCTGTCTCTTCCCCTCCTAAACTCTATCTCTCTCTGTTCCCTTCCACTCAGTGTGGAAGCTGCTTTCCTCTCCTGGATTCCATCTGTCTGGATTCTCTCATTCAGTGTGAGAGTTAGCGGTTTCTTTCTCTCTCCTCCTGTTTCTCTCTCTCTTAAATAAATAAATCACTTTAAAATAAATAAATAAATAAGGTGGGGTTTTTAAAGACTCTGTCTAAAATTAAACAAAACAAAACAAAAAAATGTGCCTGTTTCTTTGTTTTGTTTTGTTTTGTTTTTTTAAATTTTAGATGGAGCCTTGCTCTGTCGCCAGGCTGGAATGCAGTGGTGCAATCTTGGCTCACTGCAACCTCTGTCTCTCGGGTTCCAGCGATTCTCCTGCCTCAGCCTCCCGAGTAACTAAAAATACAAAATTAGCTGAGCATGGTGGTGCATGCCTGTAGCCCCAGCTACTTGGGAGGCTGAGGCAGGAAGAAACAAGAGAATATAATAGTTTCCAATAGGGAAACCACTTGAAGCATAACAAATGTTACAGAGCCTTTTCTTTCCTTTTTTGTTTTTTTTGAGATGAAGTTTTGCTCTTGTTGCCCAGGCTGGAGTGCAATGGCACAAACTTGGCTCACTGCAACCTCTCCCTCCTAGGTTCAAGCGATTCTCCTGCCTCAGTCTCCCCAGTAGCTGGGATTACAGGCATGCACCACCACACCAGGCTAATGTTTTGTTTTGTTTTGTTTTGTGTTTTTGAGATGGAGTCTAGCTCTGTTGCCCAGGCTGGCATACAGTGGCATGATCTTGGCTCACTGCAACCTCCGTCTCCCGGGTCAAGTGATTCTCCTGCCTCAGCCTTCCAAGTAGCTGGGATTACAGGCATTCACCACCACACCCAACTAATTTTTGCATTATTAGTAGAGATAGGGTTTCACTGTGTTGGCCAGGCTGGTGTTGAACTCCTGACCTCGTGATCTGCCTGCCTTGGCCTCCCAAAGTGCTGGGATTACAAGTGTGAGCCACTGCACCTGGGCTAATTTTGTATTTTTAGTAGAGACGGAGTTTCTTCATGTTAGTCAGGCTGGTCTCGAAATCTTGACTTCAGGTTATCCGTGTGCCTCCACCTCCCAAAGTGCTGGGATTACAGATGTGAGACACCGCACTCGGCGAGCTTTTTCTTTCTAAAGTTAATTTATTAGAAGAGTCTTTTCTAAAAACCCACTTTGATTTTAGAAGAATAAAAATTTAGAGTGCTTTAATATAGAAGCAATAAGTCTTGTGATCTATGTGTGAAAATAGATGGAACTATGTGTGGGAATAGATGGAAGGGCTCTTCAGAGTACAGATGTTTCCTCCTTAGATTGGCCAGGAAAAATAGTACAAAAGAAGATAGGAACACTGAGATTTCTTCCTGATTTCTTTTTTTTTTTTTTTTTTTTTGGGACGGAGTTTCGCTCTTGTTACCCAGGCTGGAGTGCAATGGCGCGATATCGGCTCACCGCAACCTCCGCCTCCTGGGTTCAGGCAATTCTCTTGCCTCAGCCTCCTGAGTAGCTGGGATTACAGGCACGCGCCACCATGCCCAGCTAATTTTTTGTATTTTTAGTAGAGACGGGGTTTCACCATGTTGACCAGGTTGGTCTCGATCTCTCGACCTTGTGATCCACCCGCCTCGGCCTCCCAAAGTGCTGGGATTACAGGCTTGAGCCACCGCGACCGGCCCTCTTCCTGATTTCTTTCAATTCTGAGAATCAGAAGAAAATCCCAGTGAGAAATTTTCTTCCCCTCCTTGGTAGTCAGATGAAAGGAAGGGCTTCCAGGAGCCTGTGCAATTTGTCCACTTCCCACCTCTCTGATTGCTTTTCTCTGGATTACTCTCATCATGCCAGGAGACTGCTTTGGCCCTCTTCTCTTTACACTCACTCCTTAGGTGATCCTGTCTTTAAATGGGTTTACCTAACAACTACCCTGAAGAGCCCTTCATTAATATCTCCAACCATACTCTTTCTCTAGATTTGTAAATCAACTTGATTATTAACGTGGATAGCCTGTAAGTATCTCAGTCGACTTAATATATTCAGTTAACTCTTGACTTTTTTTTGAGATGGAATCTTGCTTTGTCACCCAGGCTGGAAGGCAGTGATAGGATCTCGGCTCACTGCAACCTCCACCTCCTAGGTTCAAGTGATTCTCCTGCGTCAGCATCCCAAGTAGCTGGGATTACATGCTTGGCTAATTTTTTTGTATTTTTAGTACAGACAGGGTTTCACCATATTGACCAGGCAGGTTTCGAACTCCTGACCTCAAGTGATCTGCCTGCCTTGGCCTCCCAAAGTGCTAGGATTACAGGTGTGAGTTACTGCACCCGGCCAACTCTTGATTTTTCTGCTTCCGGCTGTCTTTCAGGTCAGGAAATGGCAACTCTTCTTTAATTCTTTGACCAAAAATCAGGAGTAATCCTCAATTCTTCTTTCTGTTACACTTTATATCTAATACAGCAGAAAACTGAGGGATTTATGTTGATCTGATAGGTGAAAAATGACTTCAGTGTGGTTTAATTTGCATTTCTCTAATGGAAGTTGAGTGTTTTTTAATGTGTTTAAGAACTATTGGTATTTCCTCCTTTTGTGAACTCACATGTTCATTTCTTTTGCTCATTTATTTTCCTCTCTAGAGATACTGGACATTTGTTAGCAATTTTATAGGAGCTCTTTATGTATTGGGGACATTAGCCCTTTGTGTGTAATGCCACTTGCAGATATTCACTGTTTCACATTAATTTGTCTTGACCAATCAGAATCCCTGAGTCAAAGGGTTTAGTAATGAAGAGGGAGACCCAGGTATCTCAGATCAACTTCCCTTTTCCTAAGACTGTAAACTTCCCCTTTTCATTCCTAACTTCCCCTTTTCATTCCTAAGACCATAAACCAAAACGCTTTTCATATGTAATTCCTAAGACTGTAAACTGAAACCCTTTTCATATGTTAACCTATAAACCTAAGATTCTTCCACGTGTAACATCTAAAGTATAAGCCTATATAAAGAAGGAACCTTCCTTTGTTAGGCGAGCTTGGATATTAGGCAAATATGCCACCTGGCTCCTGGCCAAATAAACTCTTTCCTCCAATATTCGGTGTCCGATCTGTTTCCTGAATAAACTCCTTCCTCCAATATTCGGTGTCCGAGAGATCTGTTTCCCGTGGCTGCTCCTGCAATAGTAATTTGTTGACAGGTGCAGCCAGATTGCCTTTTAGTTTATATTCTGTACGTTATCCAAGGTTATTTCTCCCCC